TGTGTGCCTTGGTCACGACCAACGTCCTCTGGGCTGGTGTCCCATAGCTGCAGACTAGGGCAAGGCAGGCGATGCTGTGTGGAGGAGTGTAAGGGTGACCTTCACTTCAAGCTCCCGAAGCCCTGCCCACGCTCTGGCTTGTGCACAAGCAAACACTTCCCACTTCCCTGAAAACAGCACAAAATGAAGCCCGTTCTGCTTCCTTTGGCCATGGGCTATTGTATGCTGCAACATTTGCTACATATGATCAATTGTATATATTTGATTGCTCTCCTATAAATAAAAAGGATTAGCTGGCTCAGAGCGTTTGGCCTACATTTCACCATTTTGCTCGTGAAGCTGAGCTGGATAGGAGTGTGAAAAAAACAGAGCTTGTGAAAGCCCTGGTGTTGACACAGTTATGTCAGCAAAAAAAAATTTTTGTCTGGATAACTAATTTCCTTTTGAGGGATGCGTTCCTTTGGTGCTCTTAGCTGTGGCTTCCACTGCTGTACTGGCAAGCCCCATCTCGAGTAGATCATGCAAAGCATAGATGATAGGGTATACAGTCCAGCTCGGCTGTGACTCAGGCTGTTTGGTGCTGGCAGCTACTCAATCTAGGTAGTAGTCTGATGACCTTGGTGCAACTCCTAGGAGTGGTATGCATCTATTGCAAAGTCTAGGCTTGAGGAGAACGCGTGAGAGGCTTCTGACCTGCCTCTAATTTAGGATACTGCAGCCGTGTGCTCAAGAGCGTGTTCACCTCAGCTTATTTCAATTCCAATATACAGGGCATGGTGCAGTGGAAGATACAGTGGTTTGGAGGGGAGTGGATGGTCCTTTAGGTCAGGAGACAGATGCAAGCATGTATGCAGGATGCCCCATGCTATGTAATGTGTCCCTATATCTGCCTTAGACCATGTGAGATTTCACAGGTCTAGCGTCACCATAAAGTTAACTCACCGGAGTGATCTACGTTGACTTAACCAAGGCTAAAAGTGACAGTTCAGTACAGATAAGCCCTTCATTTTTAAGTTGCTTATTTACATTAGATCAGCCTGTGTGAGTCACAGCATCTGACCCGAACAGCCCATTCCACTACCTGGGTAAGGATTTGTCTGGCTCTGTCATTTTTTGCCATTTTTGAACTCCTCATGCAGTCAAGACTAGTAGAAGGAGGCTGGAAACTTCTCTGGAAGAGTGGCACCTTCCCTCCTGCTCTCAGTTTTAACCTTTAGTCATTTTACTTTCAGCCAAAATTGCTGAAAGCCCTTTCCTCCCAATCTGTGCTCTAAAGATTGTAAAAAGCTAATGAGAAAAGCTAGAACTCATTTGCGCAGAAAGAATAATTCCAACTCTCTCCTGTGGCAAATGAGAGAATTAGGCAAACATAATGCATTTGTCATAGACTCAGTTGAATATGCTATGTTTTATTCAGCTTCAGGTAAGGGTACTGTAATAAAGGTCTGGGCCTAAGTCCCTGACAGGTCAATGATGACTCCAACATTGTTTCTACAGGGCTTGTCAGAGCGCTGTAGTTTTCCAGATAGAGGACTGGCAGCCTGAGGAAAGGTCCGGGCCCAAGGGATCCTGGCAATAAAGAAGGTGGGATGGGTGGGTGTCTATGAAGAGAAGGTCATGTCCACAGATGTCTACCTAATGACTGCGCCCAGCTCTGCTGTGGACCCCGTGAGCTTTGGCCAGACGGATCTATGAATCAGGGTGCCAAACATACTATACCTATCATTTGACTTCTGGGTGTTGCCCCCAGTTCTTCAGTAAACATCTGTCTAGTGTGATGACGGTCAAGTCACTTTTCCCATCTCTCAGTTTCTGCCTCAGGAAAAGGTAAGAAATAGCGCTTCTTGTCCTTCGTATCGTGTTAAGATCCGGCACTGGACAATTTCTTATATATATGTTCTGAACGTTACTGATGATCCCAGAATGCTGAGACAGTGCAGCGTGGTAAGTCTAGTCTGATAAGACTAAAATATTTGTGAGTGAATTACCTACCCTATAAAGGCTATTCTCCATTTTTCTGTCTTGCTCATTTTTGTGCTTTATTCCAATGTGTATTTGAATCTCTCTGCACTGCCCAACCTCATGCTGCCGTTTGGGTAGCAGAAGAGAAAAGGCTAAGTTCATGGCTCATGTAACTGCCTTGAAGCTGCCCACCAGGTTGTCCTTTTGGCTCCTGTAGAGTGCCTGAGTCTGGGACCACCCTGTAAAGCTCGCAGGCTTTGGTGTTCCTGTTCCAGCTGCTTTGCTGGCATGGTGAGGTAGACAAATGGAGCCACTGTATGTCCTCAAGAACCTAGATATAGCAGTGACAATAAGAGAGAGGTATTTGAGGTTAGGAGAAATTTGCATTCATGCTGGTGTATTCAGACCCCTGGAAAGGAATGGGGTTTTCCCCCCTTTTTTTTAAGCTGCTATAGACCATCCCCATGGATTTGCATAGAAAGGCATGTCTGTCAGAGGGAAAAAAATTATAAAAATGTAGTTTACTAAAAGGCAAATTAGTTTCAATGGAAAATACGCATCCAACAAAATGCCTGGAACAATTTGACTGCAGCAAATACCTGACTTTATGCTTCAGTCAAAGATAAGCTATCAGGCTGACTGAAGAAGTAATGGAATGAAATTATACTGTCTGTGTTATGCTGGAAGGGCAGAATAAATGATCCCCAGACTCTGCAGTCTCGAAGGGCTGTGGCATTTTCATGAATTTTCTACACAGTGTTGCTTGCAGCCAGACAAGACACTGCTAGCTTGCTCGTCCTGTCTTGCCTCTGCTGTGCGGGTCGGTTGCAAAGCCTGATGTGGTAGGAGTAGAAAAGGAGTATAGTAGGGCTAGATCCACAGAAAACATTTCCAGCAGTGATAGAAAGGTAGTGGAGAGAAAAGCTGCTTCCCTGAATACTTGTGTATGTCTGGGCTCCCCCACTTCTGCTCCTGGCACTTCTTTTGTATGATCCTAAACAAGTCCCTTCTTCTCTCTCTTGAATGGCTTCTTTGCAAAGGAAACTGAGGAAAAAGTCATCTAAGTGAACTAAAAGCATGAATTTCAAATAGGTGAATCAACTGCATTAAAGTGGACACCTTTAGTAAGAATTAGGGTGGGCTAAATTAAACGTTCTTCAATTTGCTTTGGAGGTGAAGTATACTGCAGAGAATAAACATACCTTTAAGTTAAAATGCCCACATGGGGCTTTAATGTGGTTTAATTAAGTTTTTAAAAGTTTAGTTAGCTTGCAAAGTTCATTCAAATTAGGTTTCCAGAGCATCTCCATGTTTCTCCCATAGGCAAACCCATAGTTTCCCCCACTGATGAAATGGGGACCTTTCTACCTTAGAAAAGCGATGCTGCCGGACTCAGTTCATTAATACCTAGAAAACACTTTGCTCTGTGGGAGGCATGAGGCAAGACGTGCGTAGTTCTCTCCCATGAGTGCAGCAGACAGAAGCTTTAGGCAGCTGCATGTGGCTCTGTGCAAGGCTCCCAGCGGCACCCCTCTCCCAGACGCCTGCCAGCTAGCAAGGACGGTGCCGTCACCCACATGAAGCTGTACCTGAGACGGCAAAACAGCGGTTCTGCTCTTTCTTCTACCATCAGCTTCCCACGTACCACGCGTACCCACCTGCTAGAAATGGGGCCATAACAATGTATATGCATTTACTCTTTGATGTGCTTTGAAGCCGAGAGGGGAGAGAGGGATTTGTGTGCCTGTTGTGAGCACCTGATGTGGGTGACTTTCCTGTGTCATTTCATTATGGGAACTCAACTGCAGCAGATTCCTGGAAACCTGATCCCTGAGATAAATGTGGAAGAACTGAAACAGCAGTATCTGTCCAGTATCTGTCCAGTGCTTCAGACTTTCAGTTCAGAGGCAGGTCAGAGCCTCCCTGACCTGGAACAAGGCTGTCAGTATAAAGATAGCTGCTCTCAGTCATAAGCACCCCGTGGGCCTAGGTGGAGGCAAAAGTTACATTAAACAGCCACACTGCTTTCAGAGTCACATGAGACCTACTGACATGCATTTTCTAAGAGACTGATGACATTTAGAGCTCTTCGAGTAAACTATTTGCTTTCCATTTATAACAGGATATTCATCCCACTGCTTGTCACAGAAATGAAGCACACTGATCACCATCCCAATGACCAAACGTTTGCCATCTCAAAAATATTCTCCTGGAGAATAAAATACACATCTTCATCGTTAAATTCTGTCTCATCAGTAATGCTGGGACAGATTCTCTTACAAAGGTATCAGGTTTAAGAGAGCACCCATCTTACTAACCACACCAGCTTTTTTCCAGATGGCATTCTGAATACGTTATAGACCAGGGGCTTTGCTAACCAACCCATTATTCAATTAATTAGCACTTATAAATTAAGTATGTGCCTAGCAGAGTGTGTCTTTCCATGTGGCAAGCCTCTTCTCACAGTGCAGCAAGGAAGGACTGTGAATCCGTCGGTCACCACAGGTGACATGCAGGCCACCTCAGTCGGTCATCTCGACTGAAAAATGAGAGGCAATTCCCCTGTGCTAGCAGGCTGCATCCGAAGAAGGAGCTCAGAGTCAAAGATTCAGAGCTCTTTGTATACTCTTATGTTACAGGCTAGTATGTTGTTTGGTGGTGGTGACATGTGGGTGACTGCTCAAATACCACCGTGACAGTAAGATGAACACGTAGCTAGGTATCACTCGTCAGATACACTACCGTGTGTCCACCGAAGTCTATGGTCCACTTGTTACTGCACCTCCCATGGGAAGGCTGATCTGTGGGCCCCCTGAGGCTGGTGGTGGCTTACATAGCAAGACCAGAGACAGCTTTAAACCATCTTGCTGAACCACGATGAAACATATCAGTGCAAAGCCCAGTGCAGGCTATAGCTGTTCATGTGTGTGGCTATGAGACCTGCCCTCACCTCTGTGCAGTTGCTGGCCTCTAAAGCTCACTCAGGTGAACTTGCAGAGGCTGCAGTCACACCACCGAGCTGGAGGGTGAGGTGCAACATGCCGCATACAAACTGCTTCTCCAAAGTGAGACACAGACTAGGTTTGGGACTACGCCCAGTTTACTTAGCTGTCAGTGTACTCGCTGGCTTGAGAAATCCTAATGAGGCAGGCTGCTGGCACCTAGGAGGTCACATTGGTCACTCTGTACTTGTCCTGTTCTTAGGCTCTTTTTCTAAATATTTGCTACTGGCCACAGCTGGAGAAGTCATACTGGATTAAATGGACCTTTGGTGCATTCCAGGTGTAGCCAGTTTTACGTTCTTACAATCGACAAAACTAGCTAGTAATGAAACTGGTTAGCTAAGGCCATTTTAGTATTGAGGATTCATTTGTGAAGTGCTTTGAACATCAGGCGATAGTAGCTAATCTTTGATTACCAGTAGTGACTGCTTTTTCAAAAGAAAATATGGGTGGGGAAAAAGGGGAATTTCTATTCAGTTCCCGATCCTGGTTGCCTGGGGAATACTTTTAACATGCAGAACAACAGATTTGCATGTTGGTATTTTGGGGATGTTTCCCGTGAGAAAAAAAGTACAGGTCAAAATTCTGCCTGACTTGGGGGTCTTGTCAAGATTTTATCCTCCAAGGGTTTGCGTTATTCAACTGATAAATAGGGTTTAAATAACAGAAAAACAAAGGTATCGCCTTATGTAAATAACAGCAGCATCACTTCATGCGCTGTCTTCCTCTACCTGTCCCATTGTTAGACCAGACGTGATGGAGTGGTTTGCTTACGGTGTTCACTTCCCTCTGCCTGTAACTTGTGGTGTCTTATTCAGCCAGAATTGATAGTTTCTGAGAAATGCCTGATGGATCTGTGGACCCCAGTGACACAAGCTCCCATCATGCCTTTGCAGAATAGATCGGCATTGACACAGGTCTGGTACAAATGTCCACGTCAAATGTATCCTGGCTATCTGAGCAGAAAGGCTGAACTGTGGAAAGTCAAAGCAGATTTTCCAAGGTACACAAGCATCTAAAAATACAAACTGAGGCCCATCCAGCTTTTCAAATCATCCACACAGGTCAGGTCCTTAACTCCTACTAATTATAATGAGAAAGACTTCAGTGCTTTTTAAACTCCTATTAGATGTGTGTCTGCCTCCTTTGGCCTGTATGCGAATGCCTCTCAGGCTGTGTGACGTGCTGCAGTCTGCGCAGGACTGGTTAAAAGAGAAAAGGGAATTTCAGACTCCAGCATCGTTACCGCAGCACCGAATTTACATCAGGGGAACGAAGACAGACCATTCCCGTCACGGCTGCATGATGTCTTTTGTCATGATACCCGTCACGGCTGCATGATGTCTTTTGTCACGACTGGATGTTGAGGACTGGAGAGAGATTCTCCAGTCAAAATGTGTTTGTTTTTTACATGTATTGTGTTATTGTGTTGCAGGTGAGGGTGCAGTGCTGGTCATTGCAGGACGTTGCAGTGGAACCAGACAACTCAAACCAAAGCAAAGAGCACCAAAAAGCCCACAGTGGACAGCAGGCTTCTCGGTTTGCAGAGTCATCTACCTTCAGTCGGTAAGAACTTTTAGTGTGGACAATGCTGGAGTAATCTTTAAAATTATCACAGACATCTGTGAGTTGTTTTAGGGAAAGGACCTCCCATGAGGAGGAGGAAGAGAAAGGCCTCTGGCAGGCACTGTAAATCATGTAGCATCCCACTGTGGCCCTGACTGAACAATTAAAAGAAGATGTATAGGAACAAGTCGAACCCTAACTTACCATTCCCATTGCCAGCTCCTGTGTGGTGCTGCTGAGATAAGTCTTGCTCCTGATGGCTAAAGATAGAAATGTTTTTCCACTCTGATTTTGTTTTTCTTTTTAAACTCTATTAGAGCAGGCCTCAAAATAGTTTTGGAGTTTATTTAGTTCTCGTTCTTTGACTTGGTTTCGTGCTGGACATCCCAGACTGGCTGGCCCTGGAGACAGCAGAGCTCTAACTGGGGCAGCCGAGCAGGCTGGTGCCCGAATAAAACCTGCCATCAGAAACCCCTTACGAACCATGGTTAGGAGCAAGTGGAGAGTGAAGCCTTGTGATCTTGCTGCCAAGACAGAAAACTAATGACAGCCTGTTTTATTTAATGCTGCACAGTGCTGCTATATCCAGCAGGAGATGAATGGGGACCATTTTGTTTGGACCAGCAGGGGTGAAGCCAAATCAGTCCCCCAGACTTGCAGCTGCTGGCCACATCGGGAGCTCACGTAGCTGCCTGAGCTTGGTGGCTGCGTACCAGGAAGCTGGCTGCCACTCCAGTGAGGGCTCCAGGTTCCCGTTGTCACAAAACACGTGCAGTTCTTGCCAGCTTCATAGCTAGTTCCTGGGTAATGCTTCTTCCCTGTGTGGCGGTCACTTCCAGATGTGCCAAAGAAAACAGGGTGGATTTCATGCAAGAAAGTATTTTCATATTATTTTCAACGAGGAGACAAGAGTCATTTTTGCTGCATCAGCCAAAAAGAGAAATTCTGGCAATATGGTTTGACTTCTGCTGCCTTCACAAGTTGCCTTTGCCTCCATCAGAACAGTGTTGATAGCTGGCAGGTTTCAGCAGGTTTCACTACTGGTGGTTGTGCTCAGCCAGAGGAACTCTGTATCGTCCACCAGAAGTATTTATCCCAGTTATCAAACACCAGGCACACAGCACGTTGTCTCTATTGCATCCCCCTTTTCTGTCTCCACCTGCCAGCCAGTCCACCCCAGAAACCATCCCTTTTCCTGCACCTAGTCTCCAGTTCAACATGCAGTGAATCTTTTCTCGATCACTGAGCATATAGGCCTTCTCCTGCCAGGATTGGTCAAAAACTTACATCAATTGGTCATTGTTGCAGGGGAAAAATGGCTCAGCTCATGCAGGTTAAACCAAATCAGGATTGAAATGGTTTATTGCTTTATTAAGGACATGTAATTAACTGACAATCAGTGAACTATACATTCAGGATCTATGTCAGTAATACAGCAGTTCAACCACAATGTTACACACTTAGAAAACGGTAATAAATTCCTGCAAGTTCCTAAACACACTTCTGTAACTAATCCCCAGAAGTTCTCATCCCACACATGCAGGCACCCACCCCCCTCTCACTGGCAGCGGGGTCACTTCTGGGAGTGCGGGTCCCCCCACTTATACCCCGCTCCCACTGGGGTTGTGGCCACTCCAGCTCTAGGGGTGCCCACACTACTCCCTACAGTCAGCTAATGCACCCGCTGGTGGGAAGGCACCCCAGCAGATCACCCACACACAACCGAAGTGTGGGTCCCTACATGCTGCACCCCACAGGGTCAGGCCACGCGCTGGGTGCCGGCTGCTGACGGTGTCTCATGGATGGGGAAGCTCCTGCGTCTGGTCTCGGCAGAGGTTGTGATGTGCCAGACTGGGTTTTGACTGCTGCTTTGTTCCCAGTCCGAAGCCTCTCCCTGCTCCATTACAAATTTTTATGCTTCTTTTATACAGCTATTCAGACAAATTCGTTCTTTGTTTCAAAATTCTCTTTGTCATTCCCTGGTTACTGTTTAATCCAGCTGATGGCTGCCATCCTCTTTCGCATGATCAGTTGTTTCCCCCTTCAGCATGATCAGTTTTGGGCAAATGCCCTCTCAGACGCTTTCGGCTTTTCCATCCGCACATGCTGTTTACACTCACTTACCCATCTTAACAGCTGTTGCTTGCCACATCATTTTGCCAAGGGTGAGCTGTGCAGGCACCTCCACAAGTTATATTACACAACTATCAAACTGATATTAAAGAAAAGAATACTGGCCCCATGGCTGGATTTGGGGGGAGGTTATCTTTATATATATTTACTTTCTCAGTGCCTACCAGTTCATTATTTTTTGAACTTAGTTACCTCAGCTTGCACAGCTATATGCACTTAATCTGTTCAAATGCAGTCATTGTGCTCAGAGGACCAGCCACATATGTCTATAAGCCTAATCCCTACTGACCCCACATCTGGGGGAGGACAAGGAGGGGAAGGAGGAAGACTTGAAAGCTATTTTTGTCATACTGTGTTCTGGGAGACTACAGACCCTACTTGAGCCAGTGTAATGTGCAGCAGTCCCTGAGCGGGCTCTGTTTCTCCTGAACCTCCCAGGCAGAAAATCGGAGGACAGTCCGAAGGCAGTGCCCCGCAGGACCAGGAAGATGGCGTGGGGACCACACGCCGACACTCGCCTCGCTGAAGCACTGAGGGCAGTTCTCAAGGGTCGCTCCTCTCCCCTTTGAGGCCCCTTGCAGCTCCCAGAGGGGTGTAAAATGCCCGTGTGCCACCCGGCCTCTCGCTCACAGTCTGCAGGGCTGCGGTAGCTCTCGTCACCCGTTTTGTTCCTCGCCCTCTCTCACCTGTTGTGTGTGATGCAGGCTTGGTGCCAAGCTCTTGAGCAGCTGCCCTTTTCCAGCTCCCAGGCATGCCAGCCTGAGGATGCCCAGCCCTCTTTGTTTGCAGTGGCAGCCCACGAATAGTAACTACTTGAGGCCATTTTGCACACTTCTGTCATCTTATAATTAGCACCTGGTCCTGCAGTCTGTGCTGGGGGCCCCCCCCCCCCCCCCCCCCCCCCCAGTGTGCCTCTCTCCTTCGTCTGCTGCATATCGCAGCATCATCCCCAGCCACCTTCAATGTTTCTAGAGATCACACATTACTTAAAGTTCCTGCGTGTGGCCGTCAGCCACACAGTCTCATTTTCCCCCACAAATGGCATTAATGGGCAGAATAGTCACCAAGCTGGACAAATCTTCACTTTGCTTTGCTCTGCGCTGGGCCCTTCTCTTCTGCCGCTGCATCAAAAGTAACTGTCCACCCTCCTACCCTGTAGTGAGACACCTCTCCTTGCCCTAGATGCTTTCTCCCAGTCCTGCAAGGCAGGAGACCCAAAGGAAGCAGGGATCTCACTGGTGGCTATGCCCAAACCCACCGGAGAAAATCAGTGCTGTTCACATGCTAACTCCTCAGGGCAGCAAGATAAACCCTTAACAACTTCCATCTTGCAGGTTGTTCCTTCCTGGGTGCCGGTGCACAACTTTCCCCAGCCCCATCCTTCCTCCTGCAGCTAATCTCCTGGACATGGATCGCTCTGCACATTTTGTTCTTGGCAGTTTCAAACGTTGCCTCAGGCCCTTATCGCCTTAAAAAATCAGATCATATAGTGGTGGCCTTAGAGACGGCCTGATTGATATCTGAACAGCCAAACAAACAGTAAATTTGAATAAAATTCGGCACCCCGTTGCCTATTAGTTCTGCCAATTCTGAGAGGATAATTCACCGACATCAAGTAAAGTGCGTGTCCCTGAGCGTGCATGAGACTGAGGCTTCGGGTGTGTAAAAGAGTTTGCAGGAACGGTGTGCGACCCTCATGAAGGGCCTTTTGCCTATTCCAGATCCTGCACACCCCAGCCTCTGCAGTCACAGGGATTTGGTATCGCTGGCCACTGCCAACCCAACAGGACTTCTCTGTGTATTCATACAGAAATACAGACGCTTGCAGAAGAGGAGAGAGTTTCCCAGTGATCCTTAAACAAACACTGATGAAGCCAGGAGCTCCTGCAGCTCAGCTTCCACCAGCACCACTAGAGCCTGTAGCGACGGTGAGAATGTGCTCAGAGGAGGATTGTGTTTCTGGGTGGCCATTTACCATGTAATCGTGATACAATTATTGAGATATTCTCTAGCCACTTTCTCCAAACTCATTCTCCGTGGTCTTAGGAAATAATGCTGTGGGAGGGTGTACTCCCATTCAAAGCTTCCCTGATTTTAATATCACCATGAACCTGCCTGAATACCCCATGCCTGTTTTATTTTGGATGACCCCATTGCTCAGGCAGAAGGCAAGGAGGGAAGGGCTGCACTGACTGCTGCTTTTCCACGTGCCCTGAACCAACTTGTGTGGTGTTTTCCTCTGCAGACTAGATGAGCCGAGTCCCGGCCCGTGGATAATGCCAGACAGAGCATCCAAGGGTAGGCTGTCTGATGAGTAGACTTCATGCTTGGGCGACACTGCCGCGCACCCACACATAATTCCCAAACTGCTGCCTTTTGTAGGGTAGCATACCTAAGCCACAAACTGTGCCCAGGGCATTAGAAGGAGAGTTGGTTCAGTTCCCCAGTGGCCAGTGCAGACCTGGTGGCCCAGCAGCTGAGAGAAACTGCCTAGTTGGCTACAGCGGCAACTGTGCTGAGGTCTGGGAGTGAAAAATGGGTGTTTTTTTCCTCCAACAGTGCTCGTCTACTTATTGGCTTGATTGTAATCACAGCCACCTTAACTTGTAACTGATACTGTCCTCCCTGCAGCGTAGATGATGTTCGCTTGGGTATCAGATACTGCTGTCTGTGTTTGCTTTTGTTATCACCCACCATCAGCAGGTCTCTTCAACAGACCAGCTCTGACCAGACACCAAGGAAAAAAGAAAGATGCCATTTATCCTCTTCCCTCTAGCTGATCAGCCCTTTTCGATCACATAAATGCCACTGAGAGCTGATTCTCCTAACTTAGGATGAAAATCCATGTGGCACACCTGGCTCCCTTTGATCATGCATAATGTATCATGGAGCGTTCAGCAAACCGGACACTCCCAATTAAACACACACACAGCCTTCTAGGCACACGACCTCTCTATACCCCCTGCGTGATACCCGTCCTCTTTCTAACCCACAAGCCTGCACGGCTTTGAGAAGTCTGGTCGTATGCCTACAGCTAAGGAGGCCGTGCTCGGCCGCTGCCGTGAACGGTGGCATGACCTTGAGGGTATCTGGCCTGTGCAGACCCCGTGCGGCTCCAGTAGGCTGGGGCTGATGGCCTAAAAAAGCAGGTCTCGGTTGGTTGCTTCAGGGGCTGGTTCTGGGTTGTAACCATGGATCGCTTGGAGACGGGTGCCACATTATGACTTGTCCCCTGACTGCTAGCTTAATGGCATAGGGAGGGTAGGAGATGATGGTGGCCGGACTACTTCTCCTTGAGGTCCAAGAAGAACATGCTGAGGCTGGTTGGTTGGGTGGTCCTCAATTTCAGGCTAAGTCATTCTTGCAGGTAGCTTCCAGAAGAACATGCACCTGCTAGGAGATACCAGGAAAGGCCCAGCTTATCATCATCACGATTCCCAGACCAAAAAGAAAAAGGAGAATGGAGTTAAAGTTGAGAGAACATGTCAGTAGCTTAAGGGCAAGAAAATAGGCAGAATACAATATTGCAACCAAATAAGAAAGTCAGAGTTAATCTAAATACGCTTTGGAAACATGGTGGTAAGGATCACGTGTAACTTTAGCTGTCCTGTAACAGTACTGTGGGATCAAGGCACGTTAGCTACCTGTGATCACAGAACAGATTAAAACGATAGTTTTAATGGTGCATTAAAATGCCCTTTTCCTTTTTTTCTGTTTTCCTGCAAGGTACAAGTGTAGGATTGGTGAGAGCGGGTCAGCAGGATGAGTTCCCAGGTTGAGATACCGAGGCCCCTGGCATGCTGGCCTCCCTCAGCTCCTCCCTGGTGGGACACAAGGTGACCCCGCACGCCGCTCGCCCCCCGCATCCCCGGGAGAGCCGTGCTGGACTCTGTGAAGCACCGTGCGGCACTGGTGTCGCGGCCCGCCGGGGTTGCCGGGGAGCCGCAGGCCCCTTGTACAGGGGAGGCGAGCGGGCAGGGTGGCTCTGATGGCC